TAATACCATGCGAGTATTCCTCATGATTAATTTTCACGACGTTCTTGAGAGGACCGGGTCTCGGCGACTGGTCCATTGAGTCGTTGGACCTCATGGCTACCACGAGTGTGCCCTGGCCGAGCTGGCCTCGTAGCCCGTGAATTGCGCGACGCGCCCCACGTGACGTGCGCGCGCGTGGGCAACTCGCACGGTCGCGGGTTGTAACGCCCACACGCCTCTTGTTCCGCTACCACCACCTCCCCGCCACTTTCGCGTCCCCGCGTCCTCTGCGCGTCAGTCTCCTCCGTCAGCCCCCTTTTCGCGCACTGACTGACACCCGTCGCGTTCTGCCCCTTTCTGTGGTTTTTTTTGCGCGTAAATAGCCCGAGATACATACAAGCAGCCCCTAACGCCACAACCGCGCTATATCATGCCCTCGCCGTCCAAGTCTGTAGGAAAGGCCGCCGCGAAGTCGGGCGGGAAGATCAAGCCCGCGGCGCCTGCTGCTGAGGAGGCTCCCGCGCCCCAGCAACGTCTGTTGCAGACGAGGAGCGCAAAGGCTGGCTTGCAGGTGGGTTCTCATTCACCCTCCTTTTGCTACCAATTTCCTTCCAACTAGAGCAAATAATCGCTTCAGATGACATCATTTTGCCCGCCTGCTTTGTTGTACTTGAAGTTAGGACTGTATTATTAACTAGATCTTGTCTTGATTGATCCCTTTGATCCCCGATACTCGCCAGGAATGCTAGGTGCTAATTGATCGCGTCACAGTTTCCAGTAGGACGTATTCACAGGTACCTCAAGCAGCGCACACAGCACAACGTACGGATAGGCGCGAAGGCGGCCGTGTATACATCCGCTATCTTGGAATACCTGACGGCTGAGGTCCTTGAACTCGCCGGTGAGTACCCCATTCGAGTGTCCAATCACATAGGACAATCACATGCCCTCGCCACTATTCTCATGATTCTAAAATTCACAAATTGATTTTCGCTGACTGTCTACTCCAGGTAATGCATCCAAAGATCTCCGTGTCAAGCGTATCACACCACGCCACCTGCAACTTGCTATCCGCGGCGACGAAGAGCTCGACACGCTCGTTCGCGCTACTATCGCCGGAGGAGGTATGCCCGCTGTCCATTGCTCCACTGTCTCGTTTACTCATGTAACCCATCGCAGGTGTGCTGCCGTTCATCCACAAGAGCTTGACAGCAAGCAAGCAGGCGAAGAAGCCCGAGGGTGCACAGTAAGCGCCTCGCGTTACCCGGTACCCATTGCAAAGCACAGTATGTGCTCGTTTACGGAGTTGATATCCCTGTGGCCTATCTACCGCGCCATCGATCCTACTCGCGCTAAGTATTACATGAAAATGTATGGTGTACGATTTCTCACTTCCCTGTTATCGTGTTCGCTTTCGTTGTTGAATAGGCGGCTATACATGTGTGCACATAGCATGCGTTGCTCGTCCTGGCTTCCAAAACTGCTTCGTGTAGCTGGGTAATGTACACCGTGTCGGTATGGATAGGGTATATGATACAATTACATGACCATATTCTCTGCCTTAATCATACAGAAGACTGTCCCAAAAGATCCAAGCCTCAGTCATGCGGGGCACGAGCGTCGCCGGTGACGGCGGCCTTGCCACCAGCCTCGCGAAGCTCGCCCTTCTCGTGCATATCAGGCTTGTTCATCATCTTGCCCGCGACCTTGAAGATTCAATGTCAGCGCTCGCCCTGATCTAGATCATACCATTGGACTTGCCTTTTGGGTCTTTCCGATGAGCTTGTCGGTCAGCTTGGCGTGACCTTCAGGCAAGTTATCCTGGCCACCAACCGCAACGCCGCCTACGAATATTCAGACTCATCCTCTATACTGACACAACAAGACCGGGCTCACCTTCCGACGTCGGCTCGACCCCAAGAGGCCTATCCTCGCTGAACGCGTTGTGTCCAACGTCAGACTGCGAGCGGGCCTGATGCTGCTCAGGCGAATCGTGCTGTCCGCCGGCCATGACCGCACCGGTATCGGTGCCTGCGCCAAACTGGCGTTCGTTGTTGCTCTTCCAGGTGCGCGAGTCGTTGGTCACCTCGGTACTGTAGTCCGCGGGACGAAGTCCGCCCTGGGCGCCGGGGAGGACATCATCAGAGTTGTGCTGGCGGTGCACCGGCGGGGGTATTGAAGCGTAGTTTCCGGAAGACATAATGAATATCAGATGAAGCGGTTTGGATGAAGGTGGTACGGATGTGCAAGGGGTTTGTTTGAATATACTACTCCGAGCCGCGTCTTGGGACTTATATATCAAGGAGTAGAGCTGGACGCCACATTATGGCGGTGGGTGAAAGTGGCAATGACGTCACAGACGTCCATGACGAACGAGCGACTCCGGGCTTGCCAACTCGGGGATTAGCGCCGCGGCAGGACTGTCGTCACCGCAGGCAGTGCTACGGTTCTCTGTTGTCTTGCCATAACCCCATTACATTCGAGCGACTAACCACCGAAAGCAGTCTTGCTGAAGCACTTGTTACCTCTGTTTATCACAATGAATCTAGTGTCAGATCAAAATTCCCTCATTTTGAAGATTGGATGGTTCTGCTACGACGTTCACCCAAGTATTTTATCTGTCGCCGTCTGCCTTTACTTGAACGGTTCAACCAGCGTGAGTGCTTGCTAGCATCCCTTAGCAGGAATCCACGACGACATTAATGTCACCTGATATGTAACACGTTCAAGGTTGGTCTGGTTTCGGTTTGTCTGAGTCATATTGGACTACTAACTGGTCTTCAGCTGATGCTGAGTGGAACTTCGATTCAGCCCGACGCATATGCTCCAGTTTCTAAACAAGAAAATCGTCCTACGACTTGCTTGCCCCGGATGGAACTTTCGTCCCGTTGGACGTGGGCCTCTAGACTCCTGCGATTCAGCCTTTCAGGACCGGATTCTATCATCTGGTACAACAATCGCAGACGCAAGTAGCACGGCGACTATCACGAATTTTGGCTAGGGGAGGAGATTTGCAGAAAGATGGAGTGATGGAGCTTGCGATTAGTATCGGTTTACATTTGACGTAGTCGTCTGCTACTCAAGATTATGGTGACTATATGCGCATATACAAAGGATTCGTGACACCCTTCCAATCCCTGACCTGACCCTTCCTCACCTACGATGCAATCCCCGTATCCCAAAGACACCAGACGAACTGCGCCGAACGGCCTGCCAACGCGTTCAAATACTCCGCGTACAGTTGTTTCCGTGATGCGACATCCATTTCCGGCGTACCCTTGATGACCGCCATGAGCTTCTTCGAGTCATCCGACAAGCTAACGGCTATGAAGTGGATGCCGTTACCGCCCAGCAGCCCTGGCCCCACGTCATCGGCTTCCAAACGGACTAGGCTCGGGACCGTGGTCATCTGCTTATGACGAACACCTACATATGCCGTTGTGGTTGGCGTGAGCTAGATACGAACCAACATGTTGTCGAAGGGTACGTACCGATGATTTTGCCTGAGCCGGAATTTGACCGTCTAGCGACAGGATTAATCCCTCGTTTCCAACAGCTTTCATAGAGACTACGTACCCTATGCATGTTTCCAACTTGCTCGGGTCGACCTTCGATTTGCCTTGGTTCGCCCATGCGCATGCTGCCTTTGCTGCAGTCCTGTAGTCGGCATATGTGGTCACCGTTTCAGCGAACGCCGTGCTCCGTGGACCAGCATGGTTTGAGAACATTTGTACGTTGACGAGTTGTGGTATAGCTGTCGTTGCCATGATAGCGTCTGCTTTTATGGAGAGGAGACACGGGCCTGATGCGGTACAATTATAACTGATCCGCGACGGCAGCCCGGGCTCGTTTGCTACCGACTGCGATGTTGGAGGTGTGCCGGAGCGCAAACAGATCAGTGATTCTCCGATTGAGCAGGTGGCTCATGTTTGCTCGCACCGTCTCCGTCACTGTTGAACTAGGAAGCAGTCCTAGCCCCACGGCGATCTACTCGTGGATAGAGCCTAATCTGTGGGTGAGGATTCTCCTCCTCGAACTGAGCCGTCCTGTTCGATCAGGCATATGATCTTCCAACGAATGGCCACTGACCTATGCGTATATCAGGATCACTACCTGTATGGTATTCAATGTATAGTATGCATTTTGACGTCACGGATTCGCGGCTCCCTCATCCGGAGCGAAGCTCGACGCGGTCAAGCGGCGCTGGGCAACGCAGCAAGTGGTGCCAGCGCCGATGTCGTCATCTTCGATTCCGGAGGCTGTGGCGGTCTTCCGAAGCTCAAAGCCCCACTCCGTGATGCGTGCTGGAACGTAACACCAGCTCCTGACATCCGAGGAGCAGTCACCTGTTGAGAAACGTTACCACGCTTCTGGTATGTTTTTGTCACTTCCTACAGTGGCGTACTACGCTATCATCCATCGATATGCAAGGCACAGACGTTACGAGAGACACATGTTAGGGCGTAAACCTCAAAGAAGTATCGTCACGTGGATGACGGTGTCAGAGTGGCGAGCTGGGGATTCATTCAAGGCACGTAGTCCCTTTGTTACCTTCGTGGACTGTGGACTGCGAGCCGTTCGTTGAAACATACCTCGTCATCATATTGGACATGGAAAGTGCTCGCTCGTGGACACAGACAACGAATATCCTGCTTCTGAAGGTCCCCAGAAACCAAATACAATGTGCTCAATTGAGTTCATATCGTCAGGCTCATTTAGGGCGACTTGCGATAATACTGCTGTATCTATCACAGCAATCTCGTCTTCTGTGCATCGATGTATGTATGGAAAGCCACGATGTTAATAGAGGGCTTGCAAGGATGAATCGGATGAACTTTGAATGAACGGAAGTCAATGGTAGCGGGATGATTCATTTTATTGACGATACAATCCGGTCAATAAAAATGAATCGTGCCGCCATTCCCCATTTCGGTGATGGGGAGCCCTTGGCGCAGCGTTAGCGCGTGAGATTAGCGTTCGCTTTACGGGTATATATATGCATAAAGACAAGAAATGATCAAGGACCCTTGGCGCAGCGGTAGCGCGTAAGATTCCAGCTTACGTAAGCTTGTTTCCTTAAGGTCATCCGTTCAAATCGGGTAGGGTTCACATTTTTCTGTCCATGTATCCGAATACGAAGAAAGCACTGCGGATACCGGGCTGAGCAATTTGAGATATTTTGTATTTCTCTGGGCCATTGCGATTCCAAAACCATTATCGGATGACAAAGTTAACCATCTACTTTCGAACCGGACTGCTTGTAGATATTCAACCGATCTGCACCTTCACCACAGCACCGTCAGTGGATCCCATGCACGGACTTCCAATTTGTCGAGAATATGCTGATGGCGAAGCCACCGCGTTGCGTCTGCTTCCAGAATGTCTTGTGACGACTCTGGTGACCACTCCTGCAGCGGACCACACCATAAGACGAGCTTGGTCAAGTCTTTGAGCCCTGCCTGCGATAGAATGTCGCTGAAACGTCCCCAGAAGGATTTGCGCTGCTCCTCTTTTACAGGCCTCAGCGAGGTGATTTGTAGCTGTAGCTCTTGTAGACTGCAAGAGCTCAGTTGAGAAATCAGGGACAGTATTTCATTCGTCCCAATCGCGGCGTCGAGCAGACAGACGGAGCGCAGGCTCTTCGCAGGGGTCAAGTCGAGTGTGGGTACTAGACAAATATCCATTAGCATCGCGGTGTTGAGTTTGGTTTCACGACGAGCTCACCATTGTAAAATGGTATGCAGCTGACGGTAAATTCTTCAAGAATGTCACCTGTGGCGCTCACAAAGTCGCTCAGAGCTTGGACATGATCAATGGCGTGGGGAGGCACTCCCCACAATTTGACTTTCCGAAGAGTCTCTCTCGTGGCGGTGGTGCGGAACCATTCGAGGAGTGGGGTGAGTTCTTCGGCGGCTACTTCCGCCACTGTAATACTAAGGAGACGAGGTGCCTCGAGTAATGCCCGTGGGATTGCTACATCATCGACGAGGCTTTCAGGAAAATAGGAGATGCTGCATCTGTATAGGACGAGGTGGGAGAGTGTCGGAAAGGAAGCAAGGAAACCCTGAAACAAAGAGAATGGGCCGAGAGCGCAATTATGAAATGATAGGGTTGTAACGGAAGTGAACATTCCCATCAGGGTCGGGAAGCTCGCGAACGGTCTCGACAGCGCGGACTGCGAGTTGCAATCAGCTATCGATGCGAACAAGTAGGGTACGATAGACAGATCATGGAGGGGGGAGTTGACGGCCAGGTGTTCCACGACGCGCTGAAGCCGTGGTGTGCATGCGATATGATTGAGACGATTAGGAGCGGTAGAGTCGTCCAAACGAAAGGTATTGAAAAGATGATAGTGACTTGCCGCTCGCCATCCCCGAGAGACAACGGCGCAGCTACGTAGCGAAGCGCGATCGTACCAAAGAAAGTCGATGATGCGATCGGTGAGCTCAAGAGGGACTGCGGCGGGCATATTTTCGGTCAGAGCGTGCGCAATGCCAGATGTATTCGAGATGGAGCACTTTTAATGGGTCGTTGATACTGCATGCTGCGTATCAGGGCCATTGTGACAGCTGCCAACATGCGTGTCGATGCACCTGCAGGAACCAATGATGCATACAGAGTTACTCAATCCCTTTCTTCGTATCAGCTGCAGATACAGCTGGTCGAGGCGTGCTTTACGCCACGCGGTCCATGACACCAGTGACACCCTCGAGAGCACTAAATCAGATTCAGAAGTAGCGATGTCAGAAGAGATTCGACCAAGCGTAGTGTGATCTGACCTTGTCTCTGAGTGCCCTCGTCGCGTGATGCTGCACCCTACGTTCACCATAGCACCTGCGACGGGTCCCAATGCTCTATCCTCAAGATGCCAAGAGCGTGCATCTCGGGGAGTTGAGTGTTGATAGCGGCTCGAAAGTCGTCGAACGACACTGTCCCATCGATGCCGTACATCATACTGCGCCATATTGTCACTTTGTGCAGCTTCGCGAAATGTGGCTGCCCAAATATGTCTTTGATATGTCGAAAGATAGCATGGTACTTCTCCATATCATGCGACCGAACTACATCAAACTTGATTTGTAGATCCTCAAGGACTGGTGACTTGAGCTGGGAAAGCGTTGCAGGTAACATCTCGGGTCTAATGGACGCATCCAGCAAACATATAGATCGTAGCCCAGTGGCAATATGGAGCGGGATATGGGTGCCTGCGGAATGATGCATGAGGGTACATTCGCAAAGGACCTATTTTAAAGACCTGACCTGATTCACAGCTTCTTGTCGGCAATACGAGGACTTCGAGTGCTGGCCCCGCTATTCGAAGAAGGCTATGAAGAGATTCCAGCAGGCTCGCCGAATTCGCATCGACGTCCCATATCTTCACGCTTCGAATCGACTGCGCAGTTGGTGAGGACAGCAGCCAATCAAGCAAATGCTTGATGTCGACACACGACAGGTCAGCCAAGACGAGCCCTGTGAGCATTGGCATATCAGGACGATGGTGGGCGAATATTGAACTATCAACAGGGTTATCGACAACATCCAAGATTGAGCATTCCTCAATGTCGAGGTACTTGAGGCTGAAGAATTCGCAGATGAAACGCTGGAACAGGGCGAGTGGTCCCAGCGTACATTGGTGTATCCGTAGTGTAGTGAGATTAGTGAATTGGAGAACGAGGGAGGCAAAATTCGGATATTGGTTCTGGTGTACCGCCTGGGTATTCTCGAAAGGTTTAGCAACGGAATCCTCCATATATGAATCGTCGGCCAATAAACAAGGCACAACGGGCACCATCCCCCCGAATGCGTTGATGACCAAGCTCTGTGGATAACACTTTAATCTCGAATCGCATGCAACGTTGGTCCAGCGACGCAGATCAGAACTACAGATAGCTGACAGTGCATGAAAGAGATGGAACTGGCTCCTACGGCGCCACGAAAGGCAAATCAGGGCACAGGAACGAAGAGCACGTCGGTCGTCTCGAAGGAAATCGATGATTCTATCAGTGAGTTCTGGTGGGAGGTCCAGGGCCATATTTCAGAAGCCAAGGAGTAGCAGAAGTCGACGACGAGATGACAGTTGTGTTGCAGTCCCAGTAAGTAAGCGGGACATTTATCAGATGAAGCCGCTGACGTAATACAACATCGCTAATCCGGATCTTCTCAGAGAGTTGGAAGATCGTTGTCTGAAGTATTTGTCCCGCGTTCAGCATATCCGTTTCGACTTCCTTATAGTGAGTGAAATATATACTAGCTCTCACGCATGAGAGAATCATTGTACACATAGGCCATTGTGTATACATCTCTGGAAATATCAATAGCAACCGTGGCGTGAGGCTGCCTCAACCTGTTGCCATAGACCCGTGGTCCCTTGGGTGATACACGCTCACTACGTATAGAGCGTTTTACCATGCCATTCGGGCGATAATAGACTTCAACATGTGTTATCAGATATTGTTGCAACAATTATAACGACAGGGCATACCTCCGGATGCGTCCGTACAATGAGCTTTCGAAGCTCATCCATCGTTAAAATGCCCACAGCGAAAGTAAATGGTATACCCCAAAACATGCCCGGGATGGGAGTTGTGCCGAAAACGGATTGTAAGCCTTTGCCGTAGAGATTGACTACCGCGATGAGCGCAGTCAGCGTCATACCAACCGGTACCATCAGGTTACGTCGGGGTCCCCAGAGAGGATTCGATCGTAGTATCGAGACGCGACGGTTGCGAACCGCGAGAAGGCCTCCATACTGCATGAAGACCATCGTAACATAGCTAAATGACATGCGCCATCAGCTGGGGAATTACTCAGGCGATGATAATCACATACTAGATACATTGGCCCACAGAGACGAAATGGGTGAGCTGGTCATTGGAATACCCCTGCCACCCGTCGGTCCACTTGTTGTAGACCAGAATGACCTCGTGAAACCGAAGGTGCTGCTGGGACATGTATAAGAACCACATGCTCATTGCGCACGGCCACATCATCAGGCCGATGAACTGGACGAAGTCAGTTGGAGAACACAATTTATGAGACTCAACATACAAGGTAGATCTGGAAGAAGAAGCGCCAGTCTGTGAGTCGATCAGTTCTTGCATTTCTAGGCTTCCGCAACATAAGGTCTATGTGCCAATTAGTCGTTGTAGCAGGTGCTAAGCGCGTCCACGAAACATACCGGCTTCAGGCTTCTCGTACATGAGAGAGATTGACATCACCACGTCGTTAAGGATAGAGAAGCAGACTTGCAGATACGAGCTAAGAGCAAGCTGCATCCCGAGGAAGACGTTTGCGAACACGGTAATGAACTCTGTGTAGGTCCCAGCCTGGTACCATACACGATTAGAGATGAAGTGACAAATGATCCGTGCAGACGTACGGGCATGAGGTACAAGATAACCTTCTTGAGGTTGTCGAAAACCAGGCGACCCATCTCGATGCCAACGACAATCGAGGCGAAGTCGTTGTTTAGAAGGACCATTGATGCTAAGAGGATTGAATCTATGAAGATCGTGAGACACCTTCAGCACTTACCAGCATCTTTCGCGACGTCACTCCCACTGCCCATAACGACACCAATATCACTGGCCTTGAGGGCTGGTGCGTCGTTAACACCGTCGCCGGTGACCGCAACGGTATTATCGCCACGGGCCTTCGTCTCCTCCACAATTCGCAGCTTCTGCTCGGGGGTCGTTCGAGCGAATACGATCTCCGTGTAGTTGCCAATAACATTGTTCCAGTCCGCGCAAGTGAGCGTTTCGATGTCGTCGCCGGTAAGCACGAGTGCGCGAACGCCATCTTCGGCCAAGGGCTTGATGTCATGCACGTACGATTTATTGAAGCGGTCGGCGCTGGCGGAGTTGCGCATTTCGCTTATTGTATCGACCTTCTCCTGCGAGATAATCCCAACCTACAGGAAATAGTGTCAGACTCGGGGGTCTCCAAAGTACTCAAACATACTTGGCGGGCGATCGCCAACGCCGTAAGCTTGAAGTCGCCTGTGACCATGAAAACCCGTACACCGGCGCGACGAATAATAGATACTGCATCCTTCACGTCGGGTCGCGGTGGGTCTCTGATGCCGATAAGGCCAACGAGCGTGAGGTTCT